TGCTTTCGGAAAAATGCACCAGCCACTATTTGGCTAAATCTTGGGAATATAAGTTCTACTCTTTCACGAATCGTTTTTAGTTGATACAGAGGCTAGGGTAACCTACAATCATATTTCTATGTGTGATTACAATCCTAGAAAGTAATTATCAACTCATTTTTATTTATGGGTCAGAGGGCCTATGTTTAAGATCGTCTTTTATGCACTTATGACCAAATGGTCAAATCCCGAGCATGGTCGAAAATTAAATCATTTGACTAAGGCATTCCACGGAGAGGTCGATAAATAACTTAGTGCATAATTAAAGGAAATAAAACACACAAAAACATAAAAGGAAATAATTTCCATTGAATTTAAATGAAAATAACAGCATAGGAGTTCTAGCTTAACCCTCTTCTCTTTCGAGCGTGAGGGGAGTGTAAACTCGCTTAAGAACTTTAAAAGAATGGAATAGATGAAGAACAAGAGTACAAACTCGAATTAAAGGCACTACGATAAGTAAAAGAGTGAAAATACAAGAAACGAACAACTAAAACGTAACGCTAAAGCTTATGAACGAATTCTCTAACTAAGAATGGAAGAAAAGAAGATGAAAACGGGATAAGAATGGATGCTTTGCTACTGGGGGAGTAGCTTCCTTTTATATGCCCTCAAGATGGTTGAACTTATCACCATATTAGGTGGAGATGGGTTGAGATTCTCTCAACAAACCTTCCTTGACTTGAACTCACGGTTTTTGGTTGATTCAAACATGTTGGAAATGACTCATTTGCCCTTCATTAAGTGAAACGCGCGTTTTGAAGACGTTGACCACAAAAAAGCACCAGGTGTCACAACCATACTAGTAGAGAGTAGGTTGTGACGCCCACATAGTGGAAAAGTGGTGGCGACACTCATGTGTCGTCCGTCGGACCATGTTGAGTGCCGAGAGAGAAGTGCCGTGATGCGACCAAAGAGGATGGTGCATCACCTATCACACCCCAAGGATGTGTACAAGAATGCCTAGAGAAGGCGTATGTAGAATGCAATGTTGGGTGTGTTGCCCTAAACTCGTAGTTTGTATTTTTGTAAAAACAAATGTCTATTTAATAAAGTTTTATTCAATAAATTTGTTGTTGAATCATAGCTTTGCATTGTCCAAAATCCAATAAACTAAACATCCAAGGTTATTTATGATGTAATCGGGACAGTACATATACGGGGTATATATTTAATATACCCCTGATATATGAATGGACAATGTCCCGTGAATAACCTAAAGGGTCTATAGTATATGGATAAGGTTGGGTACCTTATCCTGGCAACACTATGGATACGGCCCACTCTGTAAAGGTTACAGACGACTCGATCCAGGTCGTTCGTGTGGAGACATGCGAGTGGGGGTATCCTATACAATGAGTTTGTATAAGACCGGACCACGAAATAGGCAATCTTTAGATGTAACACCGTTAACTAATAGGTTGCTATTTCTTAGGATGACCAGACAACTCATTCTCAATCCTGAGTGAGTTATGGACTCCTGCCCGTGAGGGCTCGTCCTTTGATCTGTATGGGTGAGAGTAGCCCGAGTCGCCGACTCAACATTCCTACCATTTTGGGGACGAGACCGAGTGGGGAGCTGGGAACATAACTTCACAAGATGGAATTCACTCCTCCCCGACTTTAGGGGAGTGGATGAGTGTTCCCTTAAATGCTGACTCCGGGACTTGAA